AATCAGCCAAATACATTGAATAACTCATCTTATTCAGATAATCCACGATATTTAAACTAAGTGCCATTTCGTCTAGCTCTAACTGAGGGGACAACACGGACATATTCAACACTGAACTTGTCTCTAAATTTCCGCACACATCAACTGAGTCGGGTTCTTCTGTGTAAAAGTCTTCATCCAATGTTTGGTCACACGAGCTACCGTTTATCTGGCCACTTTCAATTTCGCTTTGGCTGAAATCGTCTGTATGTTCCGTTGAGTCTTCACTTTCTGTTTCAGTAAAGCTAGAATTTTGTGACAGAACAAAAGCTGGGCCTTTCAATATGTCACTGGGCAGAGATTGTTCATCGCTTATGGCCCTGTTCATGTCATATATTTGCTTGTTACAATTAAATGCACCGCTCACATGAAGGGTTTCACATTTGTCTGCTGCCCTTATAAGGTCGCTTGTCGCCCTTGAAGTTTCAAAAACTCTGTCATCACACATTTCTGTGCTTACAACAGACTCCTGTATTAGAAGATTGGACTTTCCCTTATGAGGTTTATCACAGTTAACTAAGTCGTTGGTGTTCAATGTTTTATCACTGGTTGTATCATAGCCATCATCCATAGCAGATTCCATTGTTCTATGAGAATTAGTTGGATTACGTTTGATAGTCTCATATCTTAGTTGCGAGTCTGTAATATGTTGTTGACTAAAGCTATTTTCAACAAAGAAATCAATATCTGTATCTGCAAGTTGATCATCTGATACAATTCTCAAATCCATTGCAGCATTTTCAGAACTACTTTCGCGTGATTTGTATAGAGATGAATGCGCAGTTTCTTCCGCATCCTGCCTTTGTTTGTTCGAATTTTTATTAGGCTTTAAGTTGTCCCATTTTGTGTGTGGTCTGAAATAAGATGCTGTTTTCTGTGAGTTGGAAAACATAGATTCTACATTGACGTCAAACAAATGTTTCCAATCTGACAATCTATCTCGGGTCAGCTGTTTCCTGTCACGGTTGTCTCCATGACTATAGGAATGTTGTGTATTCGAGTCATCTATAGAAGTAGATGACACGTGTATCATTGCCTGCTGGGGGTTGGCTTGTAGGCACGATGACAACAACGTCAGTTTGTTTCTGTCTGGGCTGTACAAGACAACTTTCTCAACTTCATCTGTATTGTTACATCTAGTATCATGTTCTGTGCCAATTATAATTTCATCCCTGTTTCCATCACCAGTCATACTTCCATCAATATTTTGTTTCGAATTTTTGTTTTTCATTGTTTTTGTGTCCACATCTTGATCTGTTTTATTACTTTTAGTTACATCAGTTATATACCAGTTTGTTGTAGAAGTTTGGGTTGAATCCTGATTAGTTTCTACAATATTTGAATGTATTTTTTCCGAAACATAATCTTCATCAACAACAATCTCTCGTTCTACAAGAAGGCAGGGTAGACCATGTTGACGGCGTTGTTCTGGGTGATGGTCTGCACATCTAGCCTGGCTCTGTTCGCCCTCTGTGTGTCTGTGTTCGTCTTTAGTCACCTGGCCCAGCTGTCCGCTCTGTTGTTGATACACATCACTGTGTTGTGTTGTGGACTCTCCTGTACCTTTTGACTGATCCCCGTCACTGGACTCATCATCTTGCTGCAAGCTGAAGCTGTCTGTGTAGAACTCACCATCACCATCAATACCTGTAGTCAGGCCATGCTCACCATTGTGTGTCATGTCTGTGTAGAACTCACCATCACCATCAATATCTGTAGCAAGGCCATGCTCACTATTTTGTGTCCAGTCTGTGTAGAACTCACCATCAATATCTGTAGCCAGGCCATGCTCACCGTTTTGTGTCATGTCTCGCTTGAACTCACCATCACCATCAATACCTGTAGTCAGGCCATGCTCACTGTTTTGTGTCATGTCTCGCTTGAACTCACCATCACCATCAATATCTGTAGACAGGATATGCTCGCCATTTTGTGTCATGTCTGTGTAGAACTCACCATCACCATCGGTATCCATGTCATGCTCACCGTTTTGTGTCCAGTCTGTGTGGGTGACGACCCCGCTGTCGTCCATGTTGGATGCGTGTATTTGTTCAGTGAAATGTTCTGTAGGAAATATATCATGGCGTCCACTAGGGGCAGATTTGGCTGCTGAGGCCATGGTAACAAAATCAAAAGTCATGTCAGATCTGCCACTAGATTTCTCTTGACACACCTCTTGTATAGATGCATAGTTTTGATGTGTAGTATAAGCTGTGTGTGTGCTATCGCCGTACAACACACGTTGCTCTGTGCCAGGTGTGTCGCGTAAAACGTCACTTAACTGTGTTGTGTCTCGTCTCTCCTGTTGCTTAGCTGAGATTGTATCCATCTTCTTTAAATTTTCGCATTTTATCTCGTTTCTGCTTTCTAACTTTTTGAAAACCGCATCTTCTTTAACATTAATTGTTGTTATATCACTCAGATATTTAGGCTTGTTATCATTTACAAAAACATATTTATTTTTGCTAGATGTCTTTGGGATTTCTAAGTGTTCCTTACTAATTGCTACATTGGTTTTTAAAGTAACTTCTAAAGCAGATTTGTATTTCGTGGCATTCAGATCATCTTCTAATGCTTTCGCTTTATCTTTTAAGAAATTAATTTTTTCCTCAGTAAAACGGCGAGTGTTTCCAGCATGAAAAAAGTTTTTCGTCTTTTTGTCAGAAGTCATAGAATCTAAATTAATTTCTACAAGTCTTTGCCACGGTGTCAGTGGATTTCTCGATAGGGTTTTTACTTCGTTTGTCGACATTATTGTAATTGTCAAAAAAAAAATAGATCGCCAAGCTTATAACGATCAATACCAAGAACTGATTTAAGAGTGAATACTTATTTTTATAGCGATATAGGCCCTACTAGTGTCTAGATATTATTTCAGCTATATCTTCGATTAAGGCAGTTTTACAAACCTATTTTACATGGTCACGTATAAGATCTTAAATCAGCCGGCTTTTTGGTGTAAATAATTCGACAAATATTTCTGTTTTTGTCATAATTCTCTTGTTGGGCATTACTAGGCCTAGATTGTAGAACGTATGATATACCGAGGATACTCCACCCATGTGATTTTCATTTCCGGATTCATAAGTGTACAATAAACAGTGATGTCATGAAATGTTGCGTAAATATTGTTATTTTTTGTGTGTATCAAAATGTCCTCTCAAAAAAGAGATCGTCTGCTTTACTGGAAATAGACTTCAAAAGACTATGTGTAACCATACTAAATTTTTAAATAAGACTAAAGAAAGTAAATCTTTAGGTTTTGAAATCTTAATAATTTAATAGGTAACATTAGGTCACATTGGTTTGTGTGTTCAGCCTATAGGCCTACTCAAGTTAACTATAATTATATGAATAAAATACAATTAAAAACAACACTTATGCTGAGTTTGATGAGTGATAATTTGTGGTTAATGTTGTTTGTTGTGAAACATCCCATAATGTATCTCACATGACAACAATCTAGTCACAAGTTGTCTTCACTTGATAACAAACAGTATCGATATTTTGTATTTTTTATCCGAAGAAAACAAAAGATACGACTCTCGATACTCCAACATCATTATAGCACGAGTGTACAAACTATAACAAGCGGGGCGTTGGTCTCTGCTGATTGCAATTATAGTGCATGCACTTAATTAACCTCTGACCGAGTCCAAAGTTCGCTACAGATTGCTAGCATAATGGCATGATTATCAATAACCTACTTACGATGATTTGTATATTTATATTGGCCCGAATAATTTCAACCATTGGCCCCTTTCAAATGTAACCCGTCCCTACCCAGAGTCTTAGCCAAATGAAGGGACAGAGACTGATAAGAAGCTCCCTCCAAATTTGGAAGTCCGGGGTGGGGGGGGGGGGGCGGGGGGTCGCATTTAGCCAAAGTAAATATCTATTAATAAATGGCGCAATAGTTCACACCGGGCGCCAGAACGGGTCCCCCCGCCTCTATCCCTACCTAAGGTTTGTGACAGTTCCGTACGAGTTGATCTGTTCCTTGATCTGACAGCAATAGTGTGCACGTTGTATCATCCACAGTCCATGTCAATCCACAGCCCCCCCCCCCCTCCCAGCACGTATCGCCTTCATCTTGTTAAACTATTTCACAGGCAAACATAAACTCTAACCAACAGAAATATGCTATATATAAACAATCACGCAAACTCGACCCAAAAACACACTTTCCCAGAGGTTCTAATATTTTAATGAGCACTAAAAATCACACGAAACAATGGATGTTATTTATATTGACATGGGATCACCTAAATATAGTTTAAACGTTTTGCAGTAAACCTGCACTTAAATCTCAACTTAGTTTGCATGAGTAAGCAAGTGATGAAACTTCACTCATGAGCTCGTGTTTTGGCCTCACAAACGTTTTGGTTATCTTTAGCTTTATCTGGCCATCAGTGCTGATATCAGACTATATTTAATTTGTACTGCCAGATTTAACAACACACAACGAAAATCTTTTTGAGATTCTATCTTGCGAAAATTGTCCAAATTAACTGTCATATTTTTTCATCGAGCACTGAATTCTGTTTTAAGCCTATTAATTAATTATTTCATTTACTGAGTAGGCCTATAGAAAAGGACGTGTATTTTTAAAAATCTATCAGGTATTGATTAATATTTTATTAAGATATTATATTAAACCTGTTCGGAACATTTATGTCCACGGTATAATATCATAGCCAAAATGTAAACTAAACCGAATTTCAAAATCATTAAGAAGAGGTGGGTTAAAAATTACAATTGTGTTAGATTGAGCTAATAGTTTTTGCAAACACAATACAAAACTGGAATTTGCATTGCTTATCTTCCGAATTTTATTTTTTTTTTAATTTTTTTTTTTAATTTTTTTTTTTTTTTTTCTTATTAATATGTTTTGAAAATATTTAAATTTGATGTAGTGGTATTATATTTGATATTATGAAGTATTTGGGATCTGACAGAAAAAAAAAAGTTATGGCTGTTCTCCTAACCTTGGCTGTGCTGATAGCTACTGCCGCCGCCTACCCGTCTGGGGCGCCAGATGATGCCTGCTCCACGCTAGACCCAGTCTCACACGGCCCATCAACCGCCACAGGCAACGCCCCCTATGCGCTCACATTTTCGTCATCAACATACCAACCCAATCAAGTCATTACAGGTAGGTTAAATTAAGCTAAATAAAATTATAACAGGTATGCCAAATCATGCAGTTTTATTATTCATTAAATCATAAAGCCAATCAAAACTTAGTAATGCATGGACAATAAAGTAGTGTCTCTTCCAGACTTTTGTCTCGAGGGGGGGGGGGGGTGGATTTTGTTTGGGGGGGGGGGGCGGATTACATTTTTCGGTGGGACGAACATTGGTAGAAGATATACCAGGAAGAAATTCTGCAATATAGTAGGCCTACGCAGTGGCGTAGCGAGGTCGGGTGTCACCCGGTGCGGCACTTAATGGTGTCAACCCCCCCCCCCCCCAGAGGCGTAGCGACCCTTCCCTGGGACAAACTTTCAAACTTTCGATTTGCACCCCCCCCCCCTCAAGTTTTCGATTTGCACCCCCCTCAAGTTTTTCTCTATATATTTTGCTATTTTTTGCCTTGGTGTCACCCCCCTAAATGGTGTCACCCGGTGCGGTCCGCACCCCCCCCCCCCTCGCTACGCCCCTGGGCCTACGTAAAGTAAACAGCTGCCAAATAATCTTAGATCGCTTTTTACAATTTGTAAAAAATGTTATTAAAACTTAAGTCTACACTTAATCCTACATGATAATGCGATTTATAGGATGGTTTACATAAACAGATCATGGATCAAAGCTTTGAGCATAATATACAAGATTTTTTTAAAGGTTATTTTATAAATAAAACTTTGTTTTTTTTTCACGCTGTAAGATAATGTGTTCCTTCTATTTCTAGTCCAGTTGCAAGGTTCAAAGTTCAAAGGTTTCCTGATTGTCGGTAGGAAGTCAGATGGCAGCTCAACAGATCCTATAGGCTACTTCATTAACCCAACCTCCGACAGCCAACTCATTTGTCTAAACAGCACGGTAACACAGTTTGTTTCGTTCATTTTGGTGATTGTTTTACATACGCCTGGGTGTTTTTTTTTTTTTTTTTAAATCTTTCATCTTAAACAAACCGGGCAATACCTTAGAGGCTGTCGGGGAAGGGGTAGTAAAATATAGGACTAATTGGTTGTTACTAATTGGTTGTATACAATTGTGTTTGCGCTTCCGCGTGTTATAATGCCTTATTCTTATATAAGCTTAGATTCATGTAGGTTCCACTTGTTTCAGAAAGGCAGCTTCCATTTATATAAATATGCTTACAAAGTTACAACTGATGGGAGAAGGCATAGGTTTCTTGTAATCAGAATGTGACACCTTATGATGAGAAGGGGAGGTGGTGGAAGTCAAATCTTTTGAAGACCGCTGCAGAAACCAGTTGTTAAATTAGCCTACCTGTGGTACACTTTCAGACCTGAGGGTCAATACAATAGATGATGTTCTCTTGGTAGGCTATTTAGAGGGATTGTATAATCAGTTTTAAGCCCAATGCCTTTACATCACATAAAGTCATCAGAACTGAATGCACTCAGAGTCGTCCTACAGACTCCGAACTTTCATATTAGCCGTCTAGCGCGCTAAGATCCGACCACGCCGACCCATAATCAGAGGCGTAGCGACCCCCTCCCAGCGCCCGGTGACAAACTTTCAATTTGGCGCCCCCCCCCCCATATGTTTTATATTTATAATTCAGAATAGGAGCTAAAATGAGCTTATTTTGGCGCTCCTAGGGTCGGCGCCCGGGGACATATGTAACCCCCCCCCCCCCCCCCCCCCCCGCTGCTACGCCTCTGTCCATAATACCCAATTCGACCTAGCAACAAATGTTTAGTGCCGCGGTTGAAGAGTTCTTCTATCTTTCAGACCGGCAATGGAATCACCCACACAGACAACTCGGTCAAGGCCGGCTTAACGTTTTCTTGGAAGGCTCCAAGCTCTTCAGTTGGTGACGTCGTTTTTCAGTGAGTACCGTGATGACGTAATACTTTTTTAAATCGTTCGGCTGATGAAATCGTTTTCCGGTAACAAAATGACGTAATGACATTTGTTATAGTTCGGCTGATAAATATTTTTCGACTAGAATGAACGGATTGGTCATTCTAGTTAAAATTTATCCTTTCACTCGCAGAGCTTTAGGGATAAATACTCTCATATAAATACTGACTGCTTACAAACAAAAGGTCCGTTTGTGGGGTTGGTTACGGCTCCTGGGGGTTGGGCCACTCATCCGGGGGGGGGGGGGGTGGCACTTGAAAATTTATGGGGGGGGGGCGGACTCAAATTTTCGGGGGGTGGACGGTGGACACCGTTAAAAGTATATAAAGTATATAAATTCCATTTCGTTGGGGAGGGGGGGGGGGGGGGGGGGTTTAAGCTTTCTTCGGGGGGGGGGGGGGGGGCTATAGCTGGAAGAAACTCTGTACCCATCACAGAGCCGAAGCGTGAAGATATCTTACAGAATTAAAGATCGTATAAAGCCTGGCGTATCTTGTTCCCTTGAAGTATGTCAGTTATGGAACTGTTGAACGTATGTTTTATCTACCAGCTACACGATAGTCAGGGGTGGAGCACCCAGTAAAGACATGAACCCCGCAGACTACTATAAAGACGAGCAGTCAGCTGCCATCAAGCCTGCTAGCACAATTCTTCTATACAAGTTGGTGAGTTAGGGGACTTAACTCGGCCTGAATGTTTGATCAGATCTAAGCTTTAATGTGCCTTAAGTACCTTTACGATCAGATCAAGTATCAAACTTTGTTAGCTTGGCTGCGACTTAATCAGCTTTGTTATGAGATCAAGCACTTAGTTTTGATGTGCCTAACTATCAGATCCAGAACCTAGCTTTGTAATGACCAAATTAGCTTTGATTTTAGATTAGGCACTTAGCCTTACTAAGAATAATCAATTATTTTTGGTATAAGATCAAAGGTTTAGCTCTATTAGCTTTGAGCAGTTTAAAGCAATTAAATCATTTTTGCTGCGTATGCATAACAGTAAATTGATTGTTCAGTCTTAGTTTTTCGAGGACATAATGTTGAGTATCTAAATATACTGGGATAAAAGCTTACTAGTATTATAAATGTATCTTTTCATATCAGCAGAAAGCAAGTCGTGTTTCAAAGATGCACAAACCACGATACAACAAAGCTGACTTCATGATACAACCAAATCAAGTTCGCAAATCGTCATTGCCTTCCATCAAAATACAGTAACTTATTATTTTCTGAGGAAAAATGGCAAACTAAAATCAAGTTTTTCACTGCGTAAATAAACTACGATGTCTTCAGTCAGATTTTATTTAAAAACAAAACGATACCATACTAATCACCTATCCATCTCTTGTGGAAAACATTAACTAATTACAGTGGTGGACTCGACTCATATAAATAGTAGTATACATTTTTCAGTATAATGAAGACACGATCAGCTAATAATGTAAACAAACAAGAACGCCAGTTTAAAATCAATGCTTGTCTTTATTTAAACACTTAATAGACTTGACAGTTATCTAGGAATCAAGGAAGATGAACTTCACAATCAACATAATCTTCTGTAACCTCTAGGCTATGAACAAACAGCTGGGTTAAGCTGTGCTCGTGTACTAAATGTAGACCTTGATTTGTTTAGTCTTTATAACATTTTGTACAATTGCATTCAATAAACATGATGTAGTTAATTTAATTTTCATTATTTTCAATACTACTGACACTTATATTGTTCTGTACAATTTAATTAATTGATTTTCATAATCATGAGACACTAAGTGATTCTGTACCAAAAATGTAAGGTAGACAACCCCACTATTTTATCATTGAGTTGCCTTTCTTACTTCGTTTCCCTCCATAAAAACAATTTCAACCCATAATTTAACTAATGTAAAATGTTTTTATGTATTTAAAATGTTCTTACTTCGTTTCCCTCCATAAAAACATTAATTTCAACCCATAATTTAACTAATGTAAAATGTTTTTATGTATTTAAAATGTTACATTTTAAGTGGATGTATCTATTTGTTCACGATTTAGACTAATTAGCAGGTTTGAGCTACAATAAAACTATGATTACCTAAATAATACACCAGATATATAAAAAGAAATATAATCACAAAACATTCATAAACATTTAGAGAAAAAAAAATTAGTTTATTTTTAAAATAAAATTTAACTTTAATTTAGATGTATTATTATTCTAAAAGAAATAATTTCTTGCAAAAAAAAAACAATAAAAAAAAACTTTACACCTTAGAATTGATCAAGATGTTGACAGTTTGGTTCCTTAAGCCTAAGCTATTTTAGATGGACCAGACAAAAGAAGTAAAAATGTCGACAAAACTGTTTTCTTATATTAAACTTGTGTATCAGATAAAATATTCATCGATAACAAAATACAATTTCTTAATGCTAAATTTTCCATCTCTACTCTAAAGATGTATAAACATGTTTGATACATTGAAAAAAAAAGTTGACCAGTTTGTGTGTCATTTTATGACTTACATCACAAAAACAAACACAAAATTTATAAGACATTTAGTCCAAACAGTTGAGTGTTCTATAGGCAAAAGTTGTAAACTTTAGCATCACATATGATAAAATCAGAATTTAGTAACAGAAACATATTTTATGGCAACATTAATTTTGACATTTTATTGACATCTATAAACTTGCAATAAATAAGTCAATGATTGACTGTGATAGAGAGTGAAATATTTATCAGCTAAAAATGTCAAGATATGTGCAGCTTTATAACACTTGACAGTGCAGCTATAGCACACTAGATGGTGCAGCTATAGCACACTAGATGGTGCAGCTATAGCACACTGGATGGTGCAGCTATAGCACACTGGATGGTGCAGCTATAGCACACTAGTTGGTGGAGCTATAGCACACTAGTTGGTGCAGCTATAGCACATTAGATGGGGCAGCTATAGCACACTAGTTGGTGCAGCTATAGCACATTAGTTGGTGCAGCTATAGCACACTAGATGGTGCAGCTATAGCACACTAGTTGGTGTAGCTATAGCACACTAGATGGTGCAGCTATAGCACACTAGTTGGTGCAGCTATAGCACATTAGTTGGTGCAGCTATAGCACACTAGATGGTGCAGCTATAGCACACTAGTTGGTGCAGCTATAGCACATTAGTTGGTGCAGCTATAGCGCACTTGATGGTGCAGCTATAGCACACTTGTTGGTGGAGCTATACTACGCTTGATGGTGCAGCTATAGCACACTTGATGGTGCAGCTATACTACACTTGATAGTGCAGCAATAGCACACTAGATGGTGCAGCTATAGCACACTAGTTGGTGCAGCTATAGCACACTGAATGGTGCAGCTATAGCACACTAGTTGGTGCAGCTATACTACGCTTGATAGTGCAGCTATAGCACACTAGATGGTGCAGCTCATCTGACAGTGCAGCTATTGCACGCTCTATGCTGCAGCTATAGCACACTTGACAGTGCAGCTATGATAATTGATAGTTTCCCAGAATGTAGATATTAAATCAATATAACAAGGAAAAAGAACTCATTTTTAAAAGAAATTAATTGCATCATCACCAGGTAAGAACAACATAATTCCTTAAATGCCCCCACCCCCAACAATTTAAAACTGCTTTTAAAAAAAATAACAATGCATTATAATATTACATCTGCAGTAGTATAGTAATAAGAAATTTGATGATAAAACCAATATCTGCTATAAATAAATTATCTTAATGTACAATGAAGCTTTACCCCTTTCTCTTCCCCCCCCCCCCCAACCCCAATTTTTAAAACATCTGACAGTGCCAAGCATTTAGCTCAATCTTACGCAAAACTATTAATATACCTGTATTATACTGTCATTAGAAGGTAAACATCAATCAATACTGATATCCCCAGTTTAAATTTATTCTAAATTTTATAAATAAATGTCTGCTCTTTAACTTTGTAAGCTGGAAGTAGCCTAAAAAATTTACAAATGCAGAACTTAGTATACATTAAACTGTAAAAAAAATAATATGTAAGCAACATTGTTTAATAAGACCATCACCAGTTGTATGAACACAGATAAAATATATTAAACACTGAAATCCACCACGTAACTATGTAGAATATGTATCACAATACAAAAGTAAAGAGCTTAGAGAGAGAGGAAAAAATGTTTAGATAAGTATACAATACATTAGTATTTCAGTGCCTAAACAAAAGTTATTACTTATATTCAACACATTGACTTTCATGAAAAATTTATGTTTATTTACTAAACAGTGCTAATAAAAAATGAGAGGTGTGAATTTCAAATGATTTAATATTTGAGTTGAATTAACTCTTAAAACAGAAGAGCTCAGTAAATCCAGATAGTGTAATAGTGAGGATTTAGTAAACCTGGAATGTTGTATAAATAGCATTATGTCCAAAGAACTGATAGGTGTTATGTGTAATAAAGTGCATTAAACAGATTTTAAAACTGAAGAAATTTTTAGATATTTCAAAATGGGTGTAAGATTGTTATACAAAAGTCAATCTTCTTGTCTATACTGTATAAATACATTAACGCATTTTAAATAATGTTTTGAAATTATTGAATAATTAGGCGACTTTTAACTATTTCTACATACAAATAATTCGAATAATATTTTTTTTAAGAAACTTGAAACAATTTTTCTATGATGCAGTTTTCTAAAAAAAAAAAATTTCATAAACGGTTTTAAACAATCAAGCTTAAAAATATTATACACTATAGGCCTACATATTTTGGATATATATTTGTTCATTTAATTTCATAATAAAACTATGCAAGAGTGCTGAGGTTTATACATCACATGCTGCTAAGATAATGTGATAAATGGCAAAAGCTGGTTGGAGAGTAACAGAGCATGAGAGAATATTTAGTTTGAACATGATATAATTTTTAACTATTTAGAGAGTAAACATGATACAATTTTTAACTGGTTAAAGAGGAAGAGAACATGATGCAATGTGTAACTGGAAAAGACAATAAAAAAATAAGGCTTTATAAATTTCCTCTGACTAAATAAATAAAAACACATAAGTAAAATTTAAAAAAGGGCTAATTAGTATGTCATTTTTACTAATAATGTAAGTTAATTCGTAACACTATACTTATTAAGTTATGAAAAAATATTTAAATATTTTATAAGGTTCTAAAAATCTGGAATATTAAAAAAATGCATGTATTTATAGCAATCTTATTGTTTTATATAAATTTATACAATAAATAAATTGAAAGTTTAAATTTTGTTACTAAAGTTTTGTGAAAAATGTAGTAATTTTTTTAGATTCACTTTAGTTTAAAAATATTTTAAAAAAATAAACCAAATTAATGCCGATTATGTTAAAGTATTCGATTAAAAAAAAAAACATTTTAAAGTGCAAAATTTTAAAAAGTACACTTAAAAATCAAAAACATTAGATCCTAATTACACAAAAAGCTAAATACATTAGAGTGAATACATTCAATGTTACCTAACTACATGGCAAGATTTAAGACTTTATTTCTCTCTAAAAACGAACTATAAAATAACCCTAGTAGACTAACTACATTAAATAATACTATGACTATTTCTAATCTTTGGTTTAACTTTTATGCCAAATTTTGAATATTTACAATAGAAAAACATTTATAGGGGTTGTCCAAAAATGATGTAAAAAGGGAAAGAAGAGGGAAAATTCTGCCACTTGCTACAACATCCTACATGGAGCAGGCAGTTGAAAAATGAGACAGAATATATTTGACTTAAACTTAAAGAATTGTATGATGTGCTGAATTAGGGCTATAGGGATGGGAAGAGAGGAAGGGAAGGGGGGGGGGAAGTGAGTAGGTTTTTGACATCCATTTAGGGAGTTTATCTATCTTTTAGTGATATATTATGATTGAGACATGGATAAAAAATCTGCTTAAAATAATTGTATTAAATCAGTTGTTGTTGACTCTGTACACAAAAACTTGAAACTATAACAATAACTACATTAGGACAAACTATTGTCATGCGGATATAGACAGTGTTTTACACAGATATAAATCACACTATTTTTTTATACAAAAAAAAATATCTGAGGGCAATCTAACAAAGACAAAAATATAAAATAGTAAAATCATTCCAATCCAGGAAATGTTTTATATTTCTGTTAAACCAGGCACCACTTTATGACTCCAAAATTGTGGACTTTATGAATATCACAGTTAGAACTAATCAACATTCTGATGATAACCCTAGTAACAAATTAGTTTGTAGTTTTCCACTGCAAATAAAATAGTTGATAATTTGATGTATATATATAGATAAATATTTATACAACATATTACAAGATCAAATTTCATTAGAAAACATTTTCAAAAGGAAGTTTTAAATAACTTTCTTCCTCTGTAAGGTAACTACTATCTAATGCTGTTTCTTGCGTTGCAACACAATTTTCCAATGTATAGTAATGTTAATATTCTTTACAGCTCAAAGCTGCTAATCAGTAAGTGTAACAATTTTCAAGTTTTTCGCATCTGAGAATATGACTAAAACTTTATAAATTTACACAAAGCACCATATTGAAAAAAAGTAGATTTTAAACACAGATCTATTCCGAAGCTTAACCAATGGCAAAATTAGACTTAGGATAAAAAAGGCTGAGTATCACATTGCATTATTTAAAAATGGAAAAAGGACTTTTAAAACTATTTGGTTAGCTTTAAATAAAAGGATTCCTTGCTGTCATTGTTAAAAAATGAATGGTATTCTCTAATACTGAGGAAGTATAAGAAATATTTTTTATTAATCTTTAGCTTGCTTGACTTAAATCACACAAAATTTCTTTAAACTAAATATTTTTTCTTTTAAAAGATAGACAAAACAAAAAAATAAAACCTTGACTTTTTGTAGGGTAGAGCTTAAATCCCTAAGGGAGATAATGTCTAATCCTATAAATTCTGAGTTATTGCACTTTGGACCAAAAAAAACCCAACAAAAAAACAAGCCTCAAGCTAAAGATGTGATGAGATAAATAACATATTTTATAACAGAAAAATGTGTATTTCAGACAACTTTTATAAATTAATGAAACTAAAGCTTTTAAACATAATAGTAGCTTATTGGATAAATTAATTAATCCTTCACCAATATTAAAAAAGGTGGCTGTTTTTAATCATACCATACATTCTTATTTTTAATCCATCATTATAATTAAAAACATATAATAGCTATAAATTTGAATGGACAAGGTTGGCGTTGACGGATGAAAAAATATTTCTCCAGGAGTAGCTGTTTACAAACTAATTTTCCTCAGCTTTTAAAAGTATTTCAATACTACAGGATTATGATAAGCTAAATGAACAGCAATATTACATACCCAAGCTAGATACAATATATACACAACACTGACAGCCATCAATTGAAGTAGGAATAAGAAAACAATTGCCAACTTGTTGGCTGCCATTACCCAGTGTGTTTGCAGGGCAAGTTGAATTTTGCCAGGCTTCTGTTTGAAAGACATTTGTTCTTTTGTGTCATTGCAAAAAACAAAGAATTGTTTAAATGCTTAAGATTTCATTGGCGACAAAATAATGTGCCGAAAACTTTTTTTTTTTTTGAAGCATGTGATGGTGGAATGTTTGTTCCTTTGAATGCTTCAAGGTATTTTTTTTAATTCTATGAATGATAATATTCAACAGATAGATGAGAATTACTACCTCTGTAAACATGCCAACAATAATAAAAATAATTATACAACTGTTGAGGTATTGTAGAAAGGCAAAAGTCTAAAGATGTTGCATATCACTGTAAGCCTTGTAAATAATTTCAGAGCATAAATATCCAGAACAAAATGGTAATAAATAATGATTGTTCATTTCTTTTTGCTCATGTTTAAGTTAAAATTAAATTGTCAAATATTCATTTTATAATATTAAATCAAAAATATGAAATTTACACACTTAAAAAAAAGATCTGATTTATAACTATCAATGTGTTAAGTATTTTAAGATCTATGACTTCAGTATGTGCAATATCATTAATATCAAGATTTTACGATGACACTAGATAAACATAGAATTTAGGGGGAAATTTTCCTGAGAGAATGAGCTGGTGTTCTCCATAATTCAAACATCAATTATTTAGAACAAGGCTAGAAATTATAAAGCAAAAAAAGCAAAACTAAAACAAAACGGTAAGATTAAGAAAAAGCAATGTGCAATAGATAACTTCCAGTGAGGACATGCCTGCCATTATCAATCAGAAAAATATAATTTTCAATTAATGAATAACTTTTAAAATTTGAAAAAATGTTGCAAAGCACAGGTACAAAAAATTATAACAGACATGAATATTAAAGTCAAATTTAGTAATTTAAAAAAAAAATTTAACTTAAAAGCCATATTTGGAAGTTAAAAAAAAATAAGTTAAAAATGTAAATTTGCAAAAAGAAATTGACAAAAACAGCTGTTTTTTTTAGTATTTCTTTATACACTTTACAAATGTGTGCATGACTAAGTCTGTTGTAAATTAAATGTACATTGTTTGAGCTCAATAAATTGATTCAAAATGCCAAAGACAAAACATTTGAGATCAAATCCTCTATCAGATTTTAATTTTACTTTGTTATTTGCTCATGAGCTCTTTTATTCACATTAAAAATGTTTCTGCATAAGGAGGATCCCTATAGATAAAGATTTAAATGCGCAATTGAATTGTTGTAAAGTATTTTAGGTAAAGATGTAAAAAAAAATATGTAGTGTAAAATTCAACATATCCATTCTTATAAGATTCCTAGAAAATGAAAATATAGTTTTCAGTTTCAATACATAATCAAAATAAAGAATGTATAATATTTTCTTGTAAAATTGTATGAAGATTCTCCTTATGCAAATACATTTCTAAATCTTCAATATACCACATTTGTTATATCACAGTTAACAGTAACAATACTCAAGGAGTGGTGGCTGTTGTATTGCTTTTTAGAATGTCTTTGAATTAATGATCTTTGAATTTATTGATGTTCAATTGTGTTTACATTTTCTTCCATATTTTGTGATTGTTTTACTTTAGGATAAAAAAAATTGGTTCGCTACAATATTTACAGGCTCTCAATCAAATATGTGATGCCAGTACATCCCTTTTCACAGTAAAACACACACTTGCCATTCACCAGAACAGAGGAGTATCTAAAGGTGGTAAAATAAAATTCTACACATTAAGTGTTGGATTGTCAGTGATAGTCTTACAATTGAAAATAAAATTCTAAATATTATGCTGGAAACATTCGTTTCAGAGGTTTACATTTTACAAGTACACAAACCAAGGAATGTTGAACTTAAAATCAAAGTGTTATGAACAACTTTAAAAACAAAAGTTACTTCTAATAAATTTCAACTTTTTTGACAACTTTCGATTTAAATGTGCATGACTATAAAATCTAATTAACATGTCAGTATAACAAGAGCCCTATATTAAATCACTGATATTTCAAGTTTTAAATTAAAATGCTTTTCTGTAACATCCAAACAACTTAACAGTAACATTACCACACAGGGATTTTACTCTGTGTTTCTATTTAGTAAGGAGTCAATTTAGAAAGCCAGTTTTAAAAAAATACCCCTACACTTTTGTTTACATCATGTCATGTATGCCTGTCGCCCCTACTGGGACATAGGACATGTTTACATGCTGATCAAGATACTGTCAAATGCAGAAAAAAATAAACTTTAGATAAAAATATGGGTCTAATTTTTTAGTGCCATTTTTTAAAAAGTCAAATGATTTTGACATTTATATTGTACAGTTATAATTTTAGAGGAAAAAAAACAGCCTTTTCTTAGGGATATACATTTTTGTAAACATACTAAAGTAATTTTTATAAATGCCTAAAATCTTGGGACTTACCATTAAACAAAATGTTATGCTCATTAAAAGCATTTGTTTGTAATGTCTAGTAGGTTACATAAACAAAAGCAAATAGACATCCCTTGATTATTCCAGCTGTCTTTCCTGTCGCAGGGATTTTATGAAAACATCCTCCACGTTTGGTCTTCCAGCAACTCAGACATATAAGCATTGTCTGCATCTGCATTCCTGAAGAAAACTGCTGGTGGAACACTAAATTCTGGTAGCAGATGCCACCTACGCCCAAGGCTTTCGGATACCTGCAAAATGAAATGTATTAAGAGGTTTTAATACATAGTTTAACTTCTATTTTTACAGGGTAAACTTTAGAATTAAGATTTTACTGAGTATAATATCTACTGACAGTAAAACTGATTTTATATTAGTCCTGAATATTGAATTACAAGTAACAGATAGTTTTTTAAAAAATCATAACTAGCCTTGTACTGCAAATCTAAAAGAGCTTCATCCTCATCATAGTAATCTTCATCTTCTTCACTCCAAAAGACACAACAAGATGGCACCATCAGCTCTCTCAGCCCTGATCTTAGGCGCGCTATAGCTACCAAGTCCTTCTGGTCCACAGAAACTCCTGTATAATAAAGCTTTAATTAGTTCATACAGTAATTAGTGTGCTATGCTTTACTTAACTGAAACCTAGTACTTTTACCATATCAGTTCTATAATTAATTAATATTTGAAATTTCTAGACCTTCAGACATTGTAACTAAAATATGTTATAAAAATGCATAATAAAAATGAATATTAAATTTATTTTCCTAATGAATGTAGAAATGGAATTTAAAGACAAACCAATCAGTTTAAGAACTTCCAGTCTAGTGCACCGCCAGGCAAGCATCACAAACGGGTCTTCTGTATCGTAGTTGTTGTAATTGATTGGTTGAATTTCAATAGCTTCTACTATTGTTAAAGATCTCAGAGTAGAGCGGTAATGATTACTAATAATATTGAGTGCAGCTACACTAATGTCTCCACAAAAATACTGTCGATAGTGTGTTAATGGCATTGATGGTTTTAAAATGTCAAGGAGCATCTGGACACCTTCAATAGAGTGCACCAAGTTCAATGTTAGCTCCAAGTTGGGACTAGCTTCCATCAGCTCTTTCCACATAGCCTCTGTTGGCTGTTGCTGGCCTGCTCGATGAACATGGATACTAAGACATTGCAAAGATAGGGATGTGTGGGGACGATGAGCCAAACTTGCCATTAAGTGAGGAGTAAGAAAATCATAGTCCATGCTCAAAGACCGAAGATTTGAAAAAGCAGAAATATTGTCCAGTCTATTAAATGGGAGATTATAAGAACCAGAATCTTCTTTGACACTTGCTAAGTGCAGGGACTGAAGATATGGAGCATGATGCTTCACCAGTAGACTTAAAACCTCTTTAGAATTATTTAACAGAATTTCAGTGCAACCAAGAGATAAGTGGAGCAGGCGTCTGTTTCTTTTCACCACTAAGCGCAAGGATTCAAGGAAACTGAAAATAAAATAAAGCATGAATGTTTCTGAAAAATGTTATTAAGCATTTTAAGGGTTAGGCAACAAGGTTACAAAGCCCAAAAGGAGGAGGCCTATAAAATAAATACTGAGTATTTATAATAACTTAATACTCGAAGGGATGTTACTTAACTAAAGTTACTAAGACAAGTTATTAAAAATTAAAAGATGTCTTTTGGTTGTGTTTATTTATGCTTCCTTTAAACTTTAAAAGACTACTATTAGATTAGTTAGGGGCCTATAAATTATATATAGGCCTATATATAATATACTTTAAATATACTATAGTTAGCATATAGATCTACAAATCTACATCCACATTACATTTTACATGAAAATGGTATAAACTTCTTTTAAACTGCTTGAATACTCAGTCTACGAAGTACAAGCTCAGCTTGCTGAATGAAATATTTTACACCTAGAATCTAGATCTTAATACCTGTGCAGTGTGCCAAATCGGGTGTTTTAAGAACAGTTGGATTGTTGACAAAAACAGCTGATTCAAAACGAGGCTATGTAAACAATTCATCACATAATCAGGAATGATGAGCCTTACCTTTCCAAACTACCGTCTCCACCATCAATGTAGCAATTGGAAGGGCGAAGCGATACACATTCCAACTGTCCGTTTCTAGATAACAGTTCTAGTAACCGAGTACAATCCCAAACCTGAGAGCATCTGGTTGAATTGAACTCGATGGTTACTTCCTTCACGAATTTCGCGCATTTGGAACTAAAAAATCTGGATCTTGGTCGGCTTTTGTAACTCATATTGAAGGTTATCACAGGCCAAAATTGAGGAAGAAACAGGAATTCCCTCCATTTATGACACGTTGATGAGGCTCTGATTCTGTCTTTAGGTGACAGTTTCGAAAAAATATCCTCAAGGACAACACTGGGCAGTGAAGCCCAGTCGCCTCCAGCTGCCATTTCTTACATTTCTGACGTCAGCGTCACGTGACTAATGTTGTGCTTTTTAGATCTTTTTATAGCCTACACTAGATGTAAATATTATTATTATGTGCTTATTTCATTCAGCTCCTACGTCAATAATAAACCTCACACAGTTTAATAAATTTATGTCTCTTTTACAATTAAACAAATTTTATGCTCAAATTATTTTTTTGCTTTGAATCTGACGTTTTTGTGTTTTGTTTTCATGTGTTATACATTTTGGACACAAATTTTTTGTATGTACTTTAAAGTTTCAAATGACCTTTAGGACTTAGGCCATATTTGTTCCCGTATTATTTTTTCTTTTATAAAGATCCTTCCAAAAAAATTATGTCTTATTTTCATAAGGAATTTTTTAAATCAAATCACCAACATTATAAAGATAAAAGATAATATTTTTCTTTGTATTAAAAAAAAATAAACGAACTTAAAATTAAATATTGAACGCACTTAGCCCCTAATTGATCCGTCAGTCTTATCCCTACCAGGTCCTATACTTATTGGGGTTCTCGCTTAGAGGTTTTGCCAGTTTGAACTTAGTTGTAGGTCACTAAACAAAGAAGATAAATGCAACATCATAGATTATAGAGGAATGACGCCATTATAGAACCTTAACCCCCTCCCTCCCTCTCCCCCGAGATAGAGGCCTTTAGGTCAAAGTTGAGAAATAGACTATTTATATATTTACAAACAGACAAACCAGAACAAGTCAGTGGGTGATTGTGATCAGTGGTGTCACTAGTGTTTCTTTCAGACTTTTTTCTCCGGGGGAGGGGGTGGACAAAATCTTTCGGGGGGGGGGGGGGGGGGTTGGAAGGGTCGGACACTAGTAAAAGTATATATAAATTAATATATTTTGTTTGGGGGGGGGGGGGGGGGGGGAGGGTAATAGACGTGCTTTATGGGGGGGGGGGGGGGGTGTCGTTAACCCCGAAGAGATACCTGAAAGAAACTTTTGGTATATATATAGGCTCTATCAGACGCGGGGGGGGGGGGGATCTGCCTCTATTGGCCTATGCCTATATTGAGTCTCGATCCCTGTCAACGCTACCCCTTAAGAAGTCTTTCTCGAAGTTTAAGTATTTAAGTATGGCCTAAACAATAGCTTTGAATTTCACGGACAGAAAGGCCATACTATTTTTAATACGAATTATAACTTAAGAAACTGAGTCGATTCCAAAATTGAAATAGAAATTTGTTTTCTGTTTCTATAAAGAAATAATAGTGTTTTTTTATACAGAAAAAATGGCAGTCGTAGGCATAATAAATACAATTTACCATTTAAAATAGTAAGCCCGTATAGCCTATATATGATGGCAAATGTTTATTTCTCAGCGTATATTGTTCATTTGCCATTCATTTTAATTTGCCATGCATGGAGCCATTTGTCTAATATAGCCAGATATAATGGATGGAACACCGTAATTAGTTAGCTAAATTGCCTGGTTATTAATTGCCATCGATCAGTAAACTGAACTTCAAGCTAGCCCACGCTTATACTAGGTGGTCTCATTGATTCCATGCCGTGGATGTTTTCATCTATTTGCCCAGCCCACTGGCCAGTTGCACCGTGCATACACCGCGAGAAAACCGCCAGCTACACACACGGCAAGCGACTAATCGATCACCTGACCCAGCCAACAAACTAAGTGAGGATGGGGCTAAAAATAGACGGTTGGCGGCAACTATGTAGATAGGCTAGGCCACGCTAGGGGGTTTATAGGGCAACTAACTTTACCAGCAAGCTACACATCTAGTTTCGTGCCATGTCTGTAGCAAGCTGACGACTTTACCCACCGTGTTCTAGATGGGTTTTATATTTTCAAGTGATAACTTTGTACTCTCAACGCTGACTAATTAAATAGGTATATCATTTTCACCATTAATTTTATACGTTGACTGATTAAATAGGTATAATATTTTCACCATTAATTTTATACGTTGACTGATTAAATAGGTATATTATTTTCACCATTAATTTTATACGTTGACTGATTAAATAGGTATATTATTTTCACCATTAATTTTATACGTTGACTGATTAAATAGGTATATTATTTTCACCATTAATTTTATACGTTGACTGATTAAATAGGTATATCATTTTCACTATTAATTTTATACGTTGACTGATTAAATAGGTATATTATTTTCACCATTAATTGTATACATTATTTTTTTAGCGCTTGATTATTTTCTAATGAGATAAAATTCCGACTATGATTTCACTCACACTGCGGGGATCTAGATTTAACAATCTCCTCTCTCACTTACTTAATAAAGCATATAGTCAGCTTTTTAATTTATAGCCCTACATCTAGACTTGTTATTCTAATTCGTGTTTTAATTTAATTAATGTGAAGGTTGGTGTTTAATCAGTACGTACGTTTGGGGCGGAGACTTTGAGTGGAAAGGGGGGGGGGGATCCAATTTTTAATTATTTAACAGAAACTTATTTATCTATTTAGTAACTAACTAATGACACAGTGGAGAATGTGAAACCTAATTCGGGTTAAATGTCAATCTGTGTGTAATTCACAAAGACCACTATTTGATTAATTTCCCTGTTTATTCATCACGCTAGGCTACTACACAGGTTATCAGTAGGTTCAGTTATCTGCAGACCTACTTAGTAGGCCTAAAGGTTTTGTGTAGGCTTCAAGACTGTTTTAAGTTAGGCTTACTCGGCTTACTGATATGATTTTTATCTTTGTGTGATATCTGTTTTTTTTATCCCTTTTTTATTCAAGTCCGATAAAATTTAATTTCTCATCAATGTCCTTACGTATGTTTATGAGAAAAAATGGAAGAGAAAAATAAATCTATTGGCCGACATCACACAAAATCGATTCGAGAGAAGATGGGTGGACAGTCAACAGATGTTGTCAATTAACAAAGAGCTCGGTGGATTGAACAAAGGACACTAGCTGTCTATAACCCTGTCTATAACCCTTCTTTCTCTGCTAAACATTGGTGGGATTGGTCAAACAGACAAAGATGGGGCCGGTGTGAAAACAAATTACTTGTGGCAAAACTATAGGAAAAGTATTTTTTTTTAATAGACACAACGCAATTTTAATAAAGCGCCGCCTCTGTCAAACCTCCGCATCTTCGCCCCTGATTTTAATGTCAACATTGTTTTATTTCACACTAAATCGGGAATTACCATTCAGATAAAATAAGCACGAACCAGAAGACGGCAGTAATAAGAATGTCGAAAGTAGCACAAACAGTAAAATTGCCGCCTATTCCACGATTCTACTCATTTGGTGAAACATTATTTCTTCTAATTTATAAATTAGTTTTCGCAGATTAAGCTCCGAGTATTTTTGACTAAGGGTAATGTTTTCTCTCAGGTACCGGGATGGCGGCATTCGACCCCCGCATGTTCCAAATGCACGCGGGGTTGCATGCTAATGCAATGAACAACACACCTCCCAGATACCCCCAGCAGACGACCAACTCCATGCACGGTCAACCAGCCGCTCCGGTGACCCAACAGAGAGCCGGAAGTTCGTCCTCAGACTCCAGACCAAAATCTGGGCCTGGGTGGGAGAACACGTACAGGACTGCCCAAAACATTGGGTTTCCAGACACCAGGCTAACGTTTGGTGAAACGACGGGGGAGTTTCTGGAAGAGCTGGCTCGCGGGATTGGCTGTCCGGTGGAGTTTGTCTTGGTGCCGTTGTTGTCGTGTGTTGGAAGTGAGTATAAAACTGACTTTGACTTGACTTATTCCTTTGTCGCCCTTGAGGGGCAGAGGGCTGCAGCCACACCTCTCCATCGTATAAAATATAGTTTATGAGAAGCGCCGAGAAGGCTATATTTTATAGTATCGTTTTGCTTTGCTCTTAGCCTCAGAATTAAAGTTAAGGTCATAGTTAAGAGAGGATACATGATTCGAAATCTTTGCGGGTTTTTTTTAAGTATATCTGGGTTCGCATGAATGAAGTGAGCTTATAGTGCTAACCATACTATAAACAACTCAGCCAGCATTCCCTCTGTAACAAACACGAGCCTAAGTTGTAACCCTCAACATCAGCACTGTTCACCAACTTATGACAGGCGTTAGGGTGTATTACTCAACTTGAACACTCCTTACACATAACTTATGACAGGCGTTAAGGTGTAACCCTCAACTAGAACACTTCACCCACAGTGAATTTATGACAGGCGTCAGGTTGTTATGTTGGCCAACAGTAACCGTCTTATGTTGGCCAACAGTAACTACCTGTTACAGTAAACGACTGAGTTTAAGTAAGGGAGATGTAAATGATTGTCCCTGAATTTAAGGAGCGAAAGTTATTATTTACAGTCCCCGTGTTTGAAAGTTATCCATTCCTAATTAAATATTTATTGTATCGAAGTGCAACTTAATTACCTAACGCGTTTTTATAAATGTATCTACGTTTTTCCATTTTCGAATCCATTTTCTTTCCAATTAGCAATTAATTTACTCGTCAAAAAATGCAGGTTTACTGTTGTTCATTGAAGCATGACTAATTAATGACAATGACATGTGTACCTGTTTCATTAAAGGTGGGTGTGACTCGACAGTTACAATTTAGACAACTGCGTGTTTCGTAAGCTCTCAGCAATAGGTCAGTAGAAGACAGACAAGTGGCTCGTTTTACCGCACTGTCATTACTGCGGTTTCAAGTACTAAAATATAACAGTGGTTGAAGTTTGATAATATCAGTTAGACGTCGCCCACAAATGACATCACATCAATTATTAGGGAGAGGATCCCGACTTTTTGAGCACGTGTGACTAAGGGGATGGGTGGGGTTAGAAAGTGTGACGTCACTCTTTTGCGTTTAAAACGTTTTTTTTTTTAAACTGCATTTAAGCTGTTATTTAAAAAAAAATACTTTTGTTGGTGTAAATTGCTAAGGGCATTGATCAAATTATGCTAACAATCATAGTATTAATGATTAGCGATGGTTTTATCTTGCAAGAAAACAGCAAGAGCATTATTATTTCGTTCTTCTTGCAAGGGAAACAGTTAATATTTTAGGCGAAAAAATCAACCTAGCTTGGTTATATCCCCTTATCGTACAGAAAATGAACAAATAAATTTTAATAATATAACAAAAAATAGTGGTGGGGTCGCGCGTCAACGTAAGTGTGACGTTATCATAAAAGACTTTTTGTGACCAACACTGTTCACCCTCCCTCTTAGACCTTGTGAACACGAACTTAAAAGAATTATTCTAAAGCTGTTTACGTTCACTACCAGAGGTTTCAATTATTGTATTGGCCATATTATTGGCCTACCAATGTGGCTATTAAAATGTATGCTTTAGGAACAGACGGGCATGGGACATATAAGATAGTCCTTCTAACCTCGGCAGTTGAACTTATGTTGTGATCAGTAGACCTACCATAACCACCCCCTTTCACTCAAGTCTGGGCTGGTGATCGTGGCTCTATCGCTCGACCACGCCGTCGCACGACTAGGCTTAAACTTCAATGTAACATTCTTTGCTTGATTTCTTCTGTACCATCATCAAAATGTGGACGACTAACATTAAGTTGATTTCTTCTGTACCATCATCAAAATGTCGACGACTAACATTAAGTTGATTTCTTCTGTACCATCATCAAAATGTCGATGCATAATGTCACAACATGTGCTGGGTTAACATAACAATACTATCAGCGAAGCTTGTGTAACATAACCATACTTAAGCTGTAAAGTGTAACCTAACGACACTATCAGCGTATAGTATAACAGTAACCATACTATCAGCGTATAGTATAACAGTAACCATACTATCAGCGTATAGTATAACAGTAACCATACTATCAGCGTATAGTATAACAGTAACCATACTATCAGCGTATAGTATAACAGTAACCACTTGTTCTCTAAACCAGGCCTTCTGGGCACCAACACCAGCATACGAGTACACAAGTCTTGGAGTGAGCCGCCAGTTATCTGGACAGTCGTGGGTGCCAACGCTGGGTCCAGACGGTCTGCAGTGGTCAGACAACTTCTGTCTCCCATCCTGACATTACAGGCGGAGGTTCAAACATCTGACAACCGCTCGGGAGAGGGGGGTGAGGACATATCTGCTACGTCAAGCAAACTGTTGGAACAAAATGGAGATTTAGATACAAGTCCAGTTACATCTCACGCAAAGAAAAGACAGAGAAGAGCTCTCTACTCAGGTACGAACCAGCGCCACGTGCTTTTTATATGTTAATTTAAGCCGATATCTAACCACTCCCTAATTCCCTATATCAGCACATAATCCCACCCCCTCTCTTAAACTAACGTCGGATTGAATACGATATTTCCTACACATGCAGGCAACAGGCTAACGCTTGCGATGTTGACAGAGAATCTACAACGAAACTTTGGCCACGCATTTTGTGTGACAGAAAATGTGGAGAATCTCCACGAGAACTTGATGCAGCCCATGACGTCAACTAAACTGATGTCAATAATGGAGGATCTGTACGAAGGACTTCCGCTTGTGACTGTTGAAGATGGCAAGGTTACCACTTTACCAGGATCCTGTTTTTGTTATGGAGGTTGGTTATAAATATAATAGAAGCATTGAAAATATATAAATATTATTAAGCCAGATGGATTTTATGTTATATACAGGGCCTATATAATATATTAACATATACATTAAAATGACTTTCGATTCCTTGTGGGTTATTTATAATTAGTGTTATGTTATATATTTTAAAGAAATAAACTTATGAAAAGGGTACAACTAGGGTGGGTGGGGTTAAAGTTTAAGCCACGGGCAAGTTGACACTTATTGACCTTACATACTGTTGACTTGACACTTTATTGACTTGCCACTTTATTGACCTGCCAATTGTTGTCCTGACGCATGATTGACCTGCCAATTATTGCCCTGACACATGATTGACCTGCCAATTATTGCCCTGACACATGATTGACCTGCCAATTGTTGCCTTGACACATGATTGACCTGCCAATTGTTGCCTTGACACATGATTGACCTGACCCACTTAATGTTTACTGTTGCCAGGTTTTGCCCGCCCCGAGTACGTCGTGTCCCTGATGCTCAAGTCCCCGCCCTGGCTGTCTGCACGTCTGCTCCTCGTCTGTCCCCAGTCGGACGACATGAAAGGCGTCTTTGGTGAAGCCACGGCAAGCAGAGATTTGCCAGAGCTGGTGCAGATCTACTCCACCCTCCTGGACCAACACAAGACACGGAGTGTGTATGTTTTTGATAGAGATGCCGTGCAGGAACTGAGCAGGTTTTTTGATGAAGAGTGGTCAACTGTTTTAAATCAGCTCGATCAGAATGAACATGAGGGAATCATAGGGAAATCCATGGGTCAGATCGTTCGTCTGTGTGGCATTCTTAAAGCCCTAGACAACAGCATTTACTCAGCCATGGAATCTTGTATAAATAAAGAACCGAAATGGGACTGGACTATTGAAAGAGGTACTGTTATAAAAGCAATAACGTTAGGAAAATATTTCTTAGAACAAAAGTTGGCCATGACCTTTATGGTTGGGACAGGATTTTTCAACCAATCGCCAGCCATATCATGTGACCCAAACGGCAGCATGGACAACGTAACAACTCTACCACAGACTGCCATACAGGACATCAAACAGCAGCAGATTTCATTTTTCAGCCCACAACCAAACTCAGCACCCCCCATCAGCCACCCCACTACCCCAAGAACTAGCTTTCAAGAGAACTCAAACATTTCATTAAACAGTTTACAACAGACGCCAAATTCTGCATTTCCTCTAGTGAAGCAAATTGGAGATGTCGACTTCAGTAATTTACCTCAAACAATGACCACAGCAGAGGAGGATGTGAGTGAGATGATGCAAGCAGTGGACTTTGTCCACCTCTCTAAGACACAGTTTGTTGCAGTCCACGGCAGGAGGATCAAACGTCTGCTAGAGTGCTACGATGACGGGCACGGCGTGTCTGCAACTACTGCTGCTCAAAAGTCCATCACCCCGCCTGTCAGAATTGAAGGCACCAACAACCGGCATCCAGCCTGGGCAAGCGCTCTTTTCTTCCAGAAAGTTGCTGACCTTGAACTTGGGAAAGCTGAGCAGGGCAGACACCCCACAAACAGGAAAGTCTGCTGGAGGTTTAAAAGGAAACCTGTCAACGAACTGCTGGAGAAAGATTTGCAGTTGCTGCACTACTTGCGGGTTGAGATGGACAAATACTCCCAGTTTGGCCCAGGGCCATTTAACCCCAACATGCTAGTCAACTCCAGCCTGATGGCCATGCCAGCCATGAACAATTCTAGTCCGCGCCAGATGGGATCAAGTCCCCTAGATGGGAGGATTGATGACGACTCAAACAGCCAAAACAGTTCAAGAAATTCTATGACACCGACAATCAAAACTGAGATTTTCTAAACAGTTGCACATATTTACATGTGTAACATTTACAAATGATAATACTTAATTTTAATATTACTCGTTTCAGACAAATATGTAAATAAGATAATTTGTATTATTTTAATAACAATGTTACTGACATTTTTTGTGACTATATCCCTGTAATAAATGTATTGACAACACAGCAGGTAGAAAAATTTAAAACAATGTGAGAATAGTTTTAATTCATTAAAACTATTATTCATGTCACGGCAATGTATGCTTAATTATTTTCTGTATACCTCATACTCATTAACCATAAAATTATATTTAACCTAAACAAAAAACACTGGTCAAAATGTTAATTTTTTATTAATTGTATTTAATTTTAATATTCAGTACATCAACCATAATCAACAATTCACAAAAGAATTATTTAATCTTCCAGTAATATGAGCAATAATTAAGAGTATTGTAGCCTACATTTTCTAAAGTCCTTCTATAAAGTCATAAATCAAAAATAAACCATTATGTGTCTCTTGTAGTTTATTTATTTTCAATTTGTACATTAAAGGTTTAATACAATTTTATGATGATTTTCTTAAAACTAAGTGTGTCAATTTTTTGTCCTTATCTGCTTGTTTTGAACAACTCACATTACTAAAATTAAAACAATTAAATGTTGAGTTTAAACTAAAAAAAAATAAAAGCAGTAACCAAGTCCCACTAAAAGTTTTCTACACATTTATTCCTAAACTTTACGACAGTAAAGACCACACCATGTTACACATGCAGTAACACAGCTGTTGTCCACAGTGAGGCAGGTCTAAACTCCTGGCAATGACGTAATATGAGAAGGGAAGCTGAAACAAAATTTTTGGAAAAATTTAAACTCTTTTATTTGAAAGTTTAGATTAGCTAGACAAAAAAATGACACAAAAAATTGAATAAATCATACATATTTTTAGGTGATTTAAATTTAACTGTCTATTTGATTTAATTAGCAATAAAAATAAAGACTGGACTAATTTTTAATTAAACACAAGTTAAGTCAAGAAGTGGGAGTTATATGGAAAGCACATAATGTGGTTAAAATGTGTTGCTTACCATATATAGAAGACTTGTCATCAGCAGTGATATCTTTTTGTTTCAACAGTGTCAGGCACCAATCCAGAACCTTAAAACAAAACAAGGTTTCATTACAGCATTTTAGCACCTTAAAACAAGGAAAGGTTACATTAAACATTCTAGCAACTTAAAGCTACGGGAGATTTCATTACAAAATTTTAGCACCTTAATCCAAGGGAAGTTTTTATTACCAAATTTTAATCTCATTGAGCTCAGGTGCTGACCAAGTCAAATTTGTTGACACTAAATGACACTGTATCAACATTTTTATTTGAATTTTAAAGTGAGCTGAATGGTTCACTGGACAAATAGATGACCTTACATAAACCAACAATCCTAAACAAGAAACAACCTACAACAAACCAACCTTTGAAGCTGTACCATCAAAAAGTTTACTAGAAAAATAGATGACCTTACATAAACCAACAATCCTAAACAAGAAACAACCTTCCACAAACCAACCTTTGAAGCTGTACCATCAAAAAGTTTACTAGAAAAATAGATGACCTTATATAAACCAATTCTCCTAAGTAATAAATGACCGTACACAAACTGACCTTTGAAGCTGTACCATCCCAAGGCTTACTGGCCACAACACTGATGACAGCAGGCAGAAACTTGACCATGTTACAATACAAAGTGCCCAGCGCTGGTACAGATTTCTCTTTCTCCCCCTGCTGTGTGTGTACATCTGGTGTACACACAAGGTTGTCCACACACGATTCAAACAGGTCAGTACACACTCCCCACAGTTCCAGCATGTGGTAGTGTGGGTAGGTCAGAGATAGGGCAGCTGATGTTACTATAGTCCCTATGTAGTTGATGACCTTATGTGAAATAATACAGAATGATATTAAAACTGTAAATTTCTTACTATAGTCCCTATGTAGTTGATGACCTTAAGTGGAATAATACAGAATGTATAATATTAAAACTTTAGATTTCTTACTATAGTCCCTATATAGTTGACAACCTAATGTAGAATAATACAGAATTATATAATGTGAATACAAACTTTAAATTTCTTAATATGGTCCCTATATAGTTGATGACCTTTTTAACAAAAATACAGAATAATTTGGATACAAACTTTAGAATTCTTAATATAATCCTTATTTAGGTTGAATGTAAAGTGTAAACTAAATTAAAACATAATATTAAATTTAGATGTAGGTCTAAAGTCCATCAATATTTTATAGCCTAATAAAAAATAGCTTTAAAATGTATCTATATGATACTAAAAGATTTTATTTATTAAGACAAATAATGTTTTTACCGTCTGCATGGGTGGAGCTGTTTCTGCTAGTGGCATGGCGCCAGTGACCACTGTCCGAGTGTGGCCCAAAAGTTCCAGAAACCACTGTTCACGAGTCTGTAGTCTAGAATATTCTCCCTTGTGTTTAGAGAAGTTGACCAGACAATGGGTCAGCAGCAACATACCAAATCCCTGGTCCCTGGGGAGGGACAATCATGTAGACAATTATTGTGTGTGGACAATCATTGTGTGTGGACAATCATTGTGTGTGGACAGTCGTTGTGTGTGGACAATCATTGTGTGTGGACAATCATTGGGAATCTATTTTTATCGTTCTTTTTTTTACATAAACATCTATGATTAAACTACTTTAAAAAAATTAAGAAATTATTTTTTAAAAGTAATAAAATAAAGAACTGAAGATTACCAGTAGTCTGTGTTGAAGGATGCGTCTATCATGTGGTTCAACAAAGACAGAGACTGCCTGCCAGTGGCCACTAAATGGCACCTGACAAATGAACCTTTGACCTGTGAGGAGGCATCAGCAAAGTCTGCCACAATGATAGAATCCATGACCTCATCAGGCACCTCAGACAGACATTCAGACATTAAATTTAGGATTGGAACCTGAAATACAATTTTGAGAGACATTCAGACATAAAATTTAGGATTGGAACCTGAAACAAAATTTTGAGAGACATTCAGACATAAAATTTAGGATTGGAACCTGAAACAAAATTTTGAGAGACATTCAGAAATTGAATTTAGGATTGGAACCTGAAACAAAATTTTGAGAGACATTAAATTTAAATTTAGGATTGGAACCTGAAACAAAATTTTGTGAGACATTCAGACATTAAATTTAGGATTGGAACCTGAAACAATATTTTGAGTGACATTCAGAAATTGAATATAGAATTGGAACATGAAATGAAATTTTGAGAAACTTCCTGACAATACATTCACAATTTGAGCCTGAAACACATTTTAATTCCTTAAACATCCAGAACATCATAATACATTTCTTCTCCTCTCCCTGTACAAGCAATGAAGTTTGTCTTTTATATTTTTAAAACCATAACTATTTAAATACATTTTTATATAAATAAAAGTTGTAATTTATATATAAATAAGAGTTCTAAATTTAAAAACAAATACAAACTGTGACCATCTTACATCAAATTCATTGGGCAGTAGAACATACAGCTGGGCAGTAAACTCATACAGAATCAGCGTCACTGCCTGGGGTGGGTTTAACACTGCCAGAGCTTTCTTCAGTCCTTTGAGAAGAGCCAATCTGACCAGCCTGTCTTGGTTGTCAATGAAGGCAGGCAAACAGTTTCTCTCTAGGTGAAGTTTGAGCACAGACGGGGAAACTGTTTTAATCAGGTCTGGCAGGCACACATGGACTGCAGCTTTTGTGGGGGGCTGGGGGAGGAAATTATATACAGCTGGAGATTGTTTCAGAAATTTAAATAATCCATCATTTATTTTAACCTATAGGGTTATTTGTAAAACTTTTTTACGATAGCTAAATAATTTTAAACTTGGGTAAGATTACACCTATGAAGACTATAACTGTCTTTGAGATTGAATTGTGACAAGACTGAGTACTCTACCTGTAATGAGGAGAAGAAAGAGGGAGCTAACCAAGAGCTCATAAACAAAGCAGCATTAGGGGATGATTGCATCTGTCTTACAGCAACTTGAAGACTTAAAATTTTCACTTCTTCTCCTAAAACAAAACAAATTATCAAATACTTCATTTTTATCTTATCTATAACAACAGCAAAACATTCTTCAATTATTTTTTTTGGCAGATTTAAAAGATCGATGTAATAAATATACCATAATTAATTCTCATAAAAGGTGTCAACATGGCGGCCCAGTTGACAGCAGGAAGTGAACTTTGAACTTTGATGGCCTGTAAAGCAGCCTCAACTTGCTGGATCAGGCAGTTGTCTGGTACTGAAATATAGAGAAATATAAAGCTAATTTCAGGAGACTTCCAACAACAATAAAGCCCAACAAAACAACCAACCATATAAACAATATAGTAGAATCAGTTTGTAATGTTAACACCATAAAAATAAAATGCCAATGGATTGTTTACAGTTTAAAAAATAAAATGCAGATGAAATGTTTATAGTTTAGAAAATATAATGCCAATGGATTGTTTATAGTTTAAAAAATACAATGCCAATAGTTTATAAAAATTACAATGCCAATGAATTGTTTATAGTTTACTCTCATGACTAAGTTCATCAAACTGGAGTAGCAAGTATAAAAATGTCAACAAACCAGATCTTCCAGCTTCTACCAGGAAGTCAAAGAGAGCCCTTATGACACTCCAATCTGGCAGGTAGCTGTAGCTTGTTGGCACTGAAAACATTATTATTTGAAAAGTAGGTCCAATGTTATTATGGTACAATCTTTTTAATAGAATTGTTATATTATTATTTAAAAGCCTTCCATACTTCTTTAAATTTTGTGTACAAGACATGATGTTCCAGGTGTTAAAATATGACCAACCTGAAGATTTACTTTCTCCCAGGTGTTAAAATATGACCTACCTGAAGATTTACTTTCTCCCAGGTGTTAAAATATGACCTACCTGAAGATTTACTTTCTCCCTGGTGTTAAAATATGACCTACCTGAAGATTTACTTTCTCCCAGGTGTTAATATGTGACCTACCTGAAGATTTACTTTCTCCCTGGTGTTAAAATATGACCTACCTGAAGATTTACTTTCTCCCAGGTGTTAAAATATGACCTACCTGAAGATTTACTTTCTCCCAGGTGTTAAAATATGACCTACCTGAAGATTTACTTTCTCCCAGGTGTTAATATATGACCTACCTGAAGATTTACTTTCTCCCAGGTGTTAAAATATGACCTACCTGAAGATTTACTTTCTCCCAGGCTGCTAGCAGACAAATGTAGATGCCCCAACATCCACGCTCCAACACTCTGGATACCAAGATCACTGTGTTCACTGACTATTTTAGTCACTTGGTTAGTCACTTCTTTCACACTGACATCATTACTCTGTAGCAGGGAAACACCTTGAACCTGTTTACAGTAAAATAAAAGAGTAGGCCTAATTTTTGTAAGTCAAAAGTCAATTTTTAAAAAAAATTAAATTTTAGTAGTTTATAAATTGCATAAATAGGACCACTATAAACATTTACTCTATAAAGCAGTTAAACTATTAAGTGATGAAGTGATAATAAAACCAGTTTAAAAAAGCCAATCTTACAGTAATGAAAGACTGCTCAGATCCGATGCTAGCTAACAAGCCAGTAAGTTTGGCCACTTTTTCTAGGGGCGCTAATGCCTGTGAGTGATGTAAAATAACATTCAGATAAATTCAAGTTCATATATATATGATTAAATAACAATAATAGTTCAACATTAAAATTAAAGCGATTAAAGTAGATTTTGTCAAGCCCTAAAAATAATCTTTAGTTATAGTGTAAATAAAATACATTGGGAGATTTATTGTCAAGTGAAATAACACCTCATTACAGAAGAGTTAAAGTAATATTTCTGTGACAGCTGTGTGTACCTGATCAGAGACATCTTTCACCCAGGCTGTGATGGCATCTCTTCTAGGCTGTACAGCTGACAACATGCCCAACTTACACAGTGTGTACATCATCAAACCCAGGGCTAGACAGATACCAGAGTTCTGCAAGAAAATAACTGACACATTGAAAATTAACTCCTCAAATTGAATTAAAAAACAGTTCTGTAAATAATTTTCTATGAAATGCTCTCTAAAAAGATGTCCACAGAATCAAGTGGTTATCTATATATATAATTCTCTTCTGGGAGCCGTTGGAAAACAAGCTGCAAGCGCGCCTTACAGTCCCCTCTCTTCCTCTCTATTGCTACCATCCCCCACCCCCCACCCCCTCACATGATCTGGTGAGCTGTGGTTCGCGCTGTTTACATTTTACAATCATAGAGACGGGCTTAGTGACAGCTAATAGGGGCAGATAATTTAGTTTGAAACTATTTTCAACTTAGGGGAGGTAACTAAGAGGAGGCTGCTTTCACGTGGGGGGGAGGGGGATTTAGTGTTTTTAAGCAAATATTTTCAGTGGCAGTATTGGCACTGTCGAATTCACAAATTATGAATTACTGAAAAGTAGAAAATAAAACAACTAAATAGCGGCGTATGATACGCAGCGGGTCGGCTCGTTACTTATAATTAAAAAAGATATTTAAATTATCATTTCATTGCTATGTATCAACAGGATTGTGTAAACCTTCAGAAATATAGTTTTTTCTAGTGCTGTTTTTTATTTTTATTTAAAAGAACTATTCAGAAGCATACCTCAGATGTGAAAACAGAACATTCTGACTAGCATATGGCTATCAGCTGACTAGTCCTGTTTTTTTTATTCAAAAGAACTATTCAGAAGCTAATAACCTTAGATGTGAAAACAAGATATTCTGACTGGTATTACCAATGTTCTTGTACATTCAATATGCAATGTGAACATTGATTATGGCTGGTACAACTGATCAGAGTGCTGGCTACAAGTGCTTGCATGAAGAAATACAAAAATACTTGCTGAGAACTTACTTGAGGATTTTCTTGATGTGCCTGCTGCAACTTGTGTACAATCTTGACAGCTGACTCCTCAGTGTAGCTGTTACAGGCACACAAAGAGCTGGCAATGCTGCTCACAGCAAAGCTAAGTGGCTGATTAATACAACACAAACATTAGTCTCATCATCATCATTCCTTTGTAGCACCTGGGGGGCAAAGGACTGCAACTACACAATATTAGGAGTTAAATCTAACGAGTAAGATATTTTATACCGGGCCAGTAATGTCATTTGACAGGGACATTAAAGCTCGCAAATAAGGAAAAAATGGAAATGGAATGGATAGGGCATACCCTGAGCAGGGGAGAGGATAATATCGTGAGGAAAGCTTTAGACTGGAATCCCCAGGGGAAGGAGAAAGTGGGCAGGTGAAGGAAATCCTGGAGGACAGTAAAAGATGAAGCAAGGGCTGCCAGGCTTACATAGGCACAAATAAAGAAAGCTGCTCAAAACCAAGTCTGATGGAGAGGTGTGGCTGCAGCCCTTTGTTCCTCTGGGGCCACAAAGGAAAAAGTCAAAAGTCAGCAATGTCATTTAAAGATACTAGCATACTAATTTGCTCAAGCAAGTGGGTTTCTTAAAAAGTGAAACAGAGACAGACTTATTGTTTACATTAAATGATGGTGAGATGATGTATCACCTATGTTATATTAAAGAAGATGTACTGGATATATATAATCTGTTGCATTAAAATTACTAGAAGACGTACCGCATAGGTGGCATCATCCACTGCTGTCTTCAGCCAAACAGGCTCCAACTTCTCCAGAATATTTTTAGCATGAACTTTGGACTCAATTTTTCCTTCAGCACAAAGTCCACAGATGGCCAGCGCCAGCCCTAGAACACACCCAGTTCTGTTCTCTGCCGTGGCATCAAGCACAATTTCCTCTAGTGCTGCTAGTGATTTCCACACAGCCAACATGCCCTGAAACAAACAGTGTGTGTTATTTACATATTCATATTACATAAAAACATTAAAGTTTCTTCAAATCCACTGACTTACAGCAACATAAAAACCATTCACATTATTAATAACACAATAATTCAAGTGTTTACAGTATTAAACTGAATCAAATCAATCTTGAGGAATTAAGACACAACCTTACAAACAGATTAGTCTCAGAAAACCTACTTTGCTTCCAGTCATCTCAAATCTTGAGGAATTAAGACACTACCTTACAAACAGATTAGTCTCTAGAAACCTACTTTGCTTCCAGTCATCTCAGAGAAATGTTCCTCAAACAATCTCCCCAACAAACTCCCCAGTGCTAGACTGTTACACAGAGCCATGACAGGCGAGTCTAGAGGCTTTGGTCCACTGGATAAATGACTAGAAAATGTATTGAGCAGGGAGATAACTTTTTCTGTCTCAGTTGATGCAAATATCTGGGCCAGCTGAGAGGCGGCCAGCCTGGCCATGGCACTACACAGAGAACTTGGTGGAGGTCTGTCATGAGAGGTTCTCTGGTGGATGGCAATGGTAAACAACAGTTAAACAAAAGTCAAACAGTATACAAACTTTTCTTTTAGAATATTTGTGTTGGGTATTGAGTTAAACAACCAGTTTAACAGTAATACAAACTGTTCTTTTAGAATATTTATCTTGGGCATTCACAGAGACTAAATTTTAAAAAATATCTAAAAAATGTAACCAATATTTGAAGTGAATACATTGAAAAAGTTTTCAATTAAAATGAGGGGAAAAAAATATCAATCTCAGTAGCAGAGACTCACCTGCTGACACAGACCGTGCAGGTTTCCTACAGGTGTGTACTGGCCATCAGCAAGTGACAGGATGGTCTCGTAAGTGACCGCCAGCCAGTGGGAGTGGCAGAGAAATTCAGGTCGACCCTCGGCGGCCTTGACCTGAGCAGGTTCCATGTCAGCGACAAACTTGTGCAGGCAGAGTGCCAGACCTGCCAGTGACATCACAGAGTTGGCCTGGGCAGCTGGCGTCCCCCTGGGACAACAAAACAATATTGTTTTTATGCTGACATTAGGGACAGCAGAACAATTATTTTCTCTAGACTGACATTAGGGAGAACAAAACAATTATTTTCTCTAGACTGACATTAGGGAGAACAGAACAATTATTTTCTCTAGGCTGACATTAGGCTGACATTAGGGAGAGCAAAACAATTATTTTCTTTAGGCTGACATTAGGCTGACATTAGGGAGAGCAAAACAATTATTTTCTTTAGGCTGACATTAGGCTGACATTAGGGACAACAAAACAATTATTTTCTCTAGGCTGACATTAGGCTGACATTAGGGAGAGCAAAACAATTATTTTCTTTAGGCTGACATTAGGCTGACATTAGGGACAACAAAACAATTATTTTCTCTAGGCTGACATTAGGCTGACATTAGGGAGAGCAAAACAATTATTTTCTCTAGGCTGACATTAGGCTGACATTAGGGAGAGCAAAACAATTATTTTCTCTAGGCTGACATTAGGCTGACATTAGGGAGAGCAAAACAATTATTTTCTTTAGACTGACATTAGACTGACATTATGGACAGCAAAACAATTATTTTCCATGTTGACATTGGCTTTGTATTAAAGTTTAAATACAACATTTAACACTACTCTGAGCTGAAGATATAAAAGTTAATGCGAAACATTTGGAGAGTACTATAAGACCTGACACTGTACCTTGATGAGGCTTTGATGACATCCAAGATGGAATCTCTGGTCCTAAGAAGAAACAAAGACATGTAACCTGTAGATTTTCACCTGGTAGTTTCTAGTGTCTGAGTGTGTTCAATATTTGGTAGCAAAAGGCAATAAGTGTTGCGTTCAAACATTTCCCATTAGCAATTTGAAGTTTATTTTTTTTAGAATTTTGTATTTAATAATCTTGTATTTAATCTTGTGTATTTAATAATATATATTTTATTTATATTTTTATTTTATTTTTAATTTAACAATGACAAAACAGATGACAAAAACATATGACTCAACAGATGAGAAAATGTATGACACAATAAATAAGAAAAATGTATGACACAATAAATAAGAAAATGTATGACACAATAAATAAGAAAATGTATGACACAACAAATAAGAAAATGTATGACACAACGAATAAGAAAATGTATGACACAATAAATAAGAAAATGTATGACACAATAAATAAGAAAATGTATGACACAATAAATAAGAAAATGTACGACACAATAAATAAGAAAATGTATGACACAATAAATAAGAAAATGTATGACACAATAAATAAGAAAATGTATGACACAATAAATAAGAAAATGTATGACACAACAGATGAGAAAAATGTACGACACAACAGATGAGAAAAATGTACAAGACATCAGATGAGAAAACTTACGACAGCCACGCTATGACTTTCTTCTCCTCCAGATCTGAGGGTAAAATATGGCCATGTTTTTCTTGAAGCTCCAAGTCAGCTTTACGACTCTAGAATAGAAAGGTTGTTTAATCAAATGTTTAATCTATCTCTAGAGCATTGATTGGAATTTGAACATTGAATCAAAAAGATATATCTACTGGTGTCAGTACTAACCTCTAAGAGAGACAGAAACAGTCTGACCATGAAGGAACTCCAGGCTTGAGGCATTAGAGCACACCTGTGCCAGTCAGAGGGCTGAACAGGGACCTAATTAGGTACAAGAGATTTAGGAATAACATGAAAACATAGGGAACTATTGTTCGGAAGAAAAATTAAAACAAAAGGATCTTTGCTACACATATGTGACTGACTGCTACAGATATGTGACTGACTCTGCTACAGATATGTGACTGACTCATCTACAGATATGTGACTGACTCTGCTACAGATATGTGACTGACTCTGCTACAGATATGTGACTGACTCTACTAGAGATATGTGACTGACTCTACAACAGATATGTGACTGACCATACAACAGATATGTGACTGACTCTGCTACAGATATGTGACTGACTCATCTACAGATATGTGACTGACTCTGCTACAGATGTGTGACTGACTCTGCTACAGATATGTGACTGACTCTGCTACAGATGTATGACTCCAGATCTCACCTCCTGTAACAAGGTGCCAAACATCTCCAGGAAAGTTTTCCCATGACGTAAGACGTAGTGTTTTCTTGGTCGTCCATCTCTGCCTACCTCAAGGGGAGGGTCATAGCAGAACAGAAGTCCAGCTGCAAACATACAAGTGTAATGAGATTTACAGCATTCAAATGTAAAGAGATTTACAGCATTCAAATGTAAAGAGATTTACAGCATTCAAATGTAAAGAGATTTACAGCATTCAAATGTAAAGAGATTTACAGCATTCAAATGTAAAGAGATTTACAGTATTCAAATGTAAAGAGATTTACAGCATTCAAATGTGAAGAGATTTACAGCATTTAAATGTAACAAATTTTACAGCATTCAATAAGATATCTAACACGTAAGTTCACATAATTAAATGCTAATCAGTTCTCTACCTGCTAGACCTGGGCGCAGGCCTGGTTGTTTACACTTGTCATACTGTTGTAAGAGAAAATTTGGAATCATCTCCACAGAATTGTCTTGAGTGGAGCCATGACGACGTAGTGAAGAGAAGAAAACACTTCTGGGTAGGTTGGCAGCCTCACTGTGTGCAAGTGACTGCAGAAACTTTGTGTAGCCTGGTGGAGCAAACAGAACACTGGTTACCATGGTAACAAAATAAAAATAACACTTCTGGGTAGGTTGGCGGCCTCACTGTGTGCAAGTGACTGTAGAAACTTTGTGTAGCCTGGTGGAGCAAACAGAACACTGGTTACCATGGCGACATAATAAAAACAATTAAAAAAAAATCCTGGGTAGCCAAGTGGAATAAATAGTTACAATGTTTAATTAGTAAAGTCTGTAGGAAAAAGAAATTTGTGTATGTAGCCTAGTGGAATAATTATTAAAACACAAGCTACAATTTTTGTAACTAATGAATCCGGTTGTGACTATGAATACATGAACCAGCACCACATGAACGTAGACAATACCTTGAATGCTGTCTCCATCAGAGACTGTCTTTAAGATGTCCACATAACAGGAGCCTGGAACTTGAGGAAACATCTGGTCAACACTGACCACTGTATCATCTCCAGCCTCTGCTTGTTGCTTGGCTACCAGATCAGCTTGTTGGTAGAGCTCTGCTGTTACCTGTGTTATAGGTGTGTCAGGTGATTGGGGGGTTTCTATAGGCAGGACATACAACTTCAGTGGAGGGGGGGGGGGGAGGGGATGGTTGTCGATACAACTTCAGTTGGGGGTGGGGGAATGGTTGTTGATACAACTTGTATGGGGCGGGGGTAATGGCTGTTAATACATGTTGTATGGGGGGGGGGATGGTTGATAATATAACTTAAATGGGTGGGGGGGGGTAATGGTTGCTAATACAAGTTATATGGGGGGGGAGGATGGTTGTTAATACAACTTAAATGGGGGGGGGGGTAATGGTTGTTAATACAAGTTGTATGGGGGGGGGGGTGGTTGTTGACTTACTGTTTTTGGTAAGTGGCTAACACAGAACTGACTGCCACTGAATTGAGAAAGTGCATGAAATGCAGCACTTCTGACTTCAGACAAATGACTTTGTGAGTGCATCCACAAAATGATGAGGGTACCTTGGGTAAAGACCTAAGTAAAAAAAATGTGCATCATTTTTCCAGATTTTCTCAAACTGAATTGTTTAATTTTTATAGAAAAGCATAATATAGTAGAAATTTAGAGCTATGAAAGAGATATCAGTGCCTTGTAAACTAACTTCCTAATAGTATCCTCTCCCCCGCTGCATCAAAAGTATGAGAAGTCTACATCAAGATTTTCCATATTTATATAGGTTTAACATTTAGGTCCTATATTTAGCAAGACTAAAAGTGTACAATACAAAATATACAGGAAATATACAGCTTTTAATTAAGCCTTTATATCATTTTATTTTTAACACATTATCTTCATATTTAATTTTAGTTTCCTCTTTAACCCGCACTTCCCTACTCTTCCCTAAATATTATCTCTCTCTCTCTCTCTCTCTCTCTCTCTATTCTGACACATAAGAGAAACAGCTCACCTCATACTCATCAGTCTTAACCTTTAACCTCGGCACCAGTGACAACAGCCTACAGATTCTAGTGACCACTAGAGGCCTCTTCTCCTGGGTACACTGTTCCCCCAGCACAGCCCACAGGGACTGGATGTCAATGACCTCGGCCTCACACAGCAGGTACAGACCCTCCAGTGCCAGAACAGACACGGCAGTCTCAGCTTCACTGGTTGCCGCGGACAACAGGTCTGACAGGGGGGCAAGTAGCTGGGCGCCATATTGCTCTGGTCTGACAATAGAAACAAGTTTTAGAACAGAATATTCTACTTTAGGTGGGGCACCATATTGCTCTGGTCTGACAATAGAAACAAGTTTTAGAACAGAATATTCTACTTTAGGTGGGGCACCATATTGCTCTGGTCTGACAATAGAAACAAATTTTAGAACAGAATATTCTACTTTAGGTGGGGCAAGTAGCTGGGCGCCATATTGCTCTGGTCTGACAATAGAAACAAGTTTTAGAACAGAATATTCTACTTTAGGTGGGGCACCATATTGCTCTGGTCTGACAATAGAAACAAATTTTAGAACAGAATATTCTACTTTAGGTGGGGCGCCATATTGCTCTGGTCTGACAATAGAAACAAGTTTTAGAACAGAATATTCTACTTTAGGTGAGGCAAGAAGATGGGCACCATATTGCTCTGGTCTGACAATAGAAACAAATTTTAGAACAGAATATTCTACTTTAGGTGGGGCGCCATATTGCTCTGGTCTGACAATAGAAACAAGTTTTAGAACAGAATATTCTACTTTAGGTGAGGCAAGAAGATGGGCACCATATTGCTCTGGTCTCACAATAGAAACATGTTTTAGAACAGAATATTCTACTTTAGGTGGGGCGCCATATTGCTCTGGTCTGACAATAGAAACAAGTTTTAGAACAGAATATTCTACTTTAGGTGGGGCAAGAAGATGGGCACCATATTGCTCTGGTCTCACAATAGAAACAAGTTTTAGAACAGAATATTCTACATTAAGACTATAGAATGTCGAGTGTTTTATTTTTTTAATAAACTCTTTATTTTGTTGTACTTTAGGATTACAGGATATTGTGGTCAAGAGGTTAATATTTTAAAAAACATTTAATTAACTGTAATTAAGAATTATAGGGTGATGTGGTGTAGTGCTAAAGATTTCAATTAACATTTTATTCAGTTGTACCTCAGGATTAGGGGATAGTCTGGTGGTAGACTGCTAAAAATTTATATTTTATTAATCTTAAACTTGGCTTGGCTTGAGTTTATCTGAGTCTATGAGATGGTACCTAGCTAAAGTTGTGGAAAGTAAATGTAGCTGGGCATAGTGCTGACCACATCATCACTTCATACACACACAATGTTAAAATTAAATGAACTCTACTTCTTCTGAAATATGAACTGTACTTAATTTACTGGAGGGCAGAGTTTTTTCCAGGCATCTCTTCGGGGGGGGGGGGGGGGGGGGGGGGGGGGGGGGAGGGGGGGGGGGGGGGGGGCTCGGCCCCCCTCGAAAAATTTTGACCGCCCCCCGAACGAAATGAAATTTATATAATTTATATAGAAAATATATACTTTTAACAGTGTCCGCCCCCCCCGAAGAAAGTCTACCGCCCCCCCCCCCCCCCCCGAAAATTTCAAGTGCCCCCCCTGGATAAAAAAGTCTGGAAGAGACACTGCTGGAGGCTTAATGGTAATCTACTTCACTAACAACAGTTCTTTATATCTTGCAATCCCTGAGACAGGACCTTACATTCCAAAGAACAATTTACTTTTAAGTAACACATTTCTTATTATTAAATCAATTTTAATTTAAATTAGGTGAGAAGATTAGAAATGCATTAATCTTTGGTCCTAAATTACAATTGTGAAAACTGGAAAAAGAAACAAAAAACTTATTTAAAAACTATTTATTTGGTGAAGAAAGAAAAATATAAAAGGTCAAAATCTAAATATTGTGTATTTTATTATAATTTAAAATATATAAGTTGATAGTTATTGCTTCAATGCATGATCAAGTGTCCCACTGTTGCGCTATAGAACACCAAACTTACTTATACTTGCAGATGTCCAAGATTGCAGAAGCCTTAGCCAACAGTATAAGATTCACTGGAGAACCAGTTTGAACAGGATGTGGGTCACTTATTGCTTGTAACAGCTGGGGAAAGCATCGGTCCTGTTGTTTCCATAGCAACACTAGAAGCCTGATAGAAACAGCCTTGAGATCTTCAGATCTACTCAGTGCTTGAATTGTTTTTAAGACAGGTGGGATGCAAAACTGAAAGAATTGTTCAAACATTGGTCAATCAAATCAAAATTAAATTTTAATTTTCTGCATTTTTATTTTAGCAGCCCTACTTTACTAAATATTAGAACTGTAAATATTAAAAAAAAAATATACTCTAAATTATATTATCAATTAATAATTCAAACAAATGATGCACTTTATATCTTGTTGTTATAGAGCACTTTAAAGATAAATGTTGACAAAAATTATTCAGTAAACAATAATCAATCAAATATTTACTGTACTTTTAAAGAAATACTGGTAAACTTCAACAAGCCATATTTAAAAAGTATGTAGCAAATCTTGCCTTATGTGTAGCTAGCTGAGGTATGGCTTCCAACAGTTGAAGTTTAACTTCTGGATCCTGACTTTTCCCCAGGACGTACAGAATTAGAGGCAAAAAATCTGGTGCCTTTGTAAAAAGGAATATAAAACCTTATTTTATAAGTCAATTTAATGTTCATTTATATTTCAATTTAATAAAAATAATTTTTTTTTTTTAAAACAGTAAAATGTAGTTTATTAGAAAAATTAAGGAACAAGAAATGAACACTGGAATAATTTTTCAAGGAATTAAAAATTCCTAACCTGTACAGGATCAAGTCTAGCAAGTTTAGTAATGGCAGCAAGTCCAGAGTGTAGCACATCTGTTGAACTGGTGCTAATTAAGATGGCAGAGATCAGATGGTTGAGTACAAGGGTACACGACTCAGGTTTGTCTAGAGATGATGACACGTTGTTTAGCCAGGCAGACTGGGTTAAGTCAGGTGACTTGCAGGCAGGTGCTACAAGATTCTGGCACAGCTCACTTGCTAGCTGACAATTATATCCAGTGGAGCCAAGACAATAACTTGCTGGAGATATTTCCTGTGATAAAACACACTTTAAGTTAAAACACTATTTATGCATCAAAACAAAGTTAACACTGAAGTTAAAATATTATTTCCTATATTAAAATGAAATTTTTTATTTTCTCATTTAAAATGAAATATATTATTTCCTATATTTAAATGAATTTTTCTATTTCCGATATTAAAATATAGCTGTTGATATGAATGTTGAAATATTACTTTGAACATTTAAAAAGTTAAGAGAAGTAAAAAAGAATATTCATATGATCTGTTTGATGATGATTAAAAAAAAATGAATTTTAAGAAAACAAAACTTATAATTTATTTAATTTTAATTAAAAAAATTAAAATTTTTAATTTACAGCAACAATTAGTCAAACCTCTAAAAACTTACCTCAGACTTATCTGTAGTAGTAGCATGTTTCAACTTTTCTTCTATTCCAACCAACAGCTGGCCAGCTCTAGTTTTTAATGTTGCCAGATTTTTTGACTTGCCATAGCATAGTTTGTTGTTGGGCAGGGCTAGAAACTGCAAAACTGGCTTGACCAGAGAGGCCAGGCACAGCCTGTTTGACCAGTTAGGGCAAGCTTCAACAACCAGACGAGCTGAGGAGAAAGGTCAGACAGTTAGGCCTACACATCATCAGTCTCTAACAAAATATTTCTAAGTTTTAGCCTGATTCAAACATTAAATCTTTATAGGCATTTATCAGCAAAATTTATAGCTTTGTAAAGATCATGGCATTACAAAAAAAGCATTTGAATATTTTTTAATATTTTAACAAGCATAATTGTATTAAATATTTCAAAGTCCCTTTGTAAAAAAAAAGTAAAAAACTAAAATAATAAAAGTTCAGCATTATACACCTATATTAATAGTTTACACTTTGGCATAGTATACATGTTATATTTGTCTGTTTAAGTAGCTGAATAGATCTACAAAGACAAAGTGAATTAGCATGTCAATTAGTAGGCCTACAATACAGCTGACCACTACTTCCTTATCTTGTGATATTTAAACTTGTTAATAATAAAATGAACAACATATTGAAAAAAAAACACGAACAAAACTAGCAACAAAGTGTTGAGTATAAACCACAGGGTAATCTCTCTGTGATAGATGGCTGACAGGTGTATTTAACTGTGGTATTGTTGGGCACAGGGCATGTAAACAAGGAATCATACAAGTGAAAATATATAAAACTTGACATTGTTGAGATACAGGGAATATTGAAGGATTAGTTTGTAAGATACTGTAGAGCTTATTGTCTTATGATAAAAGGAAACAACAGAAAAAAATATGCATCTTATATCAGGTTGGACGTGTTTGTTGACAAAGTTTCCACATTAAGATGTTATACATTTTTACCCAGGAAGAAAACAATGAAATACTTTCATCATTGGAGAATTTGCTTGTTAGCTCCCTTAGCTCAAAACCAAAGCCAACACAATAAATGCAGGGACAAGCTAAAATTGGATTTTAGTGGGTAGCGATTATATTCTTTTACAACCGAATAACGTAACATTTGTTTTATGAGCAAACACACGCTTTTATGTGTACTGTTTTATAAATGGTGGTTTATAAATTATAATTAAACAAAATCGTTTTATTTTACTTGTTCTTTTTTGTGCTTTTTATTGCTTGTTATTTTTAAACATTCTAATATATACATCTAGATCTAGTATTAAGTAAACCACAGGACACACGACGATACCCACTAACTGAAGACAACGGATGAGTGTGTCAAGACGAGGCACGATACTGTTAGGTACTCATTAGAGCTGGGTGGACTCAGGGGCGTTTACAGACTTGAACCGGGATTCGAACTCGAGACTTTTGGGTCAGCATAGTTATTAGCAATCTGTTTTTTTTTTTAAATTTCAAACATCTAATTATGTTCATGCCACATTCATGTGTACTAAGGGCTTGAGCAAAGTTTCAGGTTTTAAACAAATCGGTTTGGTAGAAGTGGTTGACATTTCGATCACAAGACTCCACCCAGGTCGAATCAAGCACGAGGAATCAAGGTAAATAAAAGCATGTAATAATCTGAATACACCTAAGGAAATACTGAGGACTCTCATTCAAACCCTCAACCTAATTTTTTTTAAGATAAGATATCTGAAATATCGGCGACACCCAATACGCCTACCACACTGTATTATTTTATTTTAGCTAAAAAGTTATACTAAAGTGTCAAAACTAAAAAACAGACTAATAAAATAAGTTTTTGATTATGAAGCGTTCAAACAAACAGGCAGTAATGATATGCGTGTAAATAACGCGCTTGTATAATTTTTTTCGCAATAAAAGACCGAATCACCAGCAGACCCTGGTCTAAAAAATGTGCCACACACTTGATCTCGTTAGCCTCCCCTTTCCTGCTTCACCACAGACTGATTCAAGCAAAGGTGAAGGTCGGACAAGCTTAAATGTCGTGGGCCGATACCGATAAATCTCAGCCCCTAGTCTCAGGGGCGTAGTGGCACCGCCCGGCGCCCGGGGCAATCTATCAATTTTGCGCCCCATATATAACAAGGTCACGGCTAGTCAAAACTGCAACAGTCGCTACTTGCCCTGGTGTAGGAAGTTGTAGCAGTGGCACAAAGCCTGGGCAGCAAGATGAGAACTGTCAGGTGTTGCCCATATATCAGCCCCTCAGCCGCCCCCCCCCCCCCATCTACACAACTGACATCACGTTACATACACAAGTTAACATCAGCAGTTTCAAAAGAGTTGCCGAGAGAAACCAGAGTTGGAAATCCTATTGTCTAAGGGGCTATACTCCTGTTTGATTTCGGAGTTTTCTCTCCTAGATGGGTTGCTGTCTTTGGACTTTCCGTGTAGCAACCGTTCTTTTACCCACTCGACCACTCCCACACTATTGTGCTGTTTTATTAGTTCAATGAATGTGTGTGTCTATTTTTCTAACTTGTCTTTAGAATTCAGCAATGCCCCATCCTTTTAGCTCTGGAGATAGCGGACATGTCGCCCCCTCCCATCACACCCCCTCCCCATAGCTCAGCCACTTTGAGTTTCTAGAATTTTCTGCGTCATGACGGCCATATAAGAATATCATGCTCATTGGTGTAGCCTAGTCTATGTGATAATGCATTCAATTCGGACGGTTGTATTTAGACTGTCTAGTCATTTCTTATACGAATATGAGATATTAGATACATATGAACTCATTTCGTGACTGCATATTCTGAATCTTGTTATAAGATATAAGGCCTATAATTGTACAAACATATTATACTGTTATACAAAAGTAATAACAATGAATACTTATCTACGTATAACTCAGTTTTAAATTTTGGACAGAGTAATATTTAGTAATAATGACTGAATTTTTACGTAAGCTGGTACCATTCATCTACCCGCCCCCCACTGATTAATGAAAGGAAACACGTCACAAATCCAATACGTCTTGTGCAATGAAAGGTGTAATGTAGCGAGAGATGGTCTGATATAGATGTAAGAAGCCACTCACATGGGTGGTACCACTGAATGGAAGTAGGGCGACGTTAAGAAGTAGGACACTAGTTACGTAGATCTGGTGCTAGCGTCTGTCTAAAACTAGGACACTTGATGTTTTTCTCGCTAGTTCCCTAAATCTGGTGCTAGCGTCTCGCTAAAACTAGGGCATTTGATGTTTTTCTCGCTAGTTCCCTACATCTGGGGTTAGCGTCTGATAAAACTAGGGCACTTGATGTTTTTATCGCTAATTCCATAGATCTAGTGCTATCTAACATTACTTGATAACTAGGGCCATTGATGTGTTTCTCGCAAGTTCTATAGTGCTATCAACTCTCTAACATTACAATAAAAATCTCCGCTCGATAGTTCCAATCAGGATCAGAAGAGATCGAACATTGAATATCATTAACATAAGCGCTCTCTCGCACGGAATTTCTAAGCTGAGAATAAAAAATAATAATTGACTGGAATAATTGGAAATATATTACATCAGCACAGCTGAAAACGAACACAGTTACTTAGATCATATGAAACATTAAATAATTTAATTAGATAAATACTCTGGGTTTTTACAATTTACTTGTCCGACAAAGTTTTGAAGTCCAGATAGCGCCCATGTTAACTACATCGGACGTTTATATTTAGACACAGCAAAAACCTTTTAAGCTAGCACACCAGAAACAATTATGAATTAACTTGTAAGAAACATTAGGCTTGAAAAGTCTATGTAATCATAATAAATTTAAAAAAATCCTTTTAAAAATATGGCAAGCGATAAAATTATAGTTAAATTAAAAAAAGAAATAAAACCGCTTGGGAAACATCGATCACACTCATTTTTATATTTTTGTATTGAATATAAGCCGTTGAAAATAATTTTAGAATTATTTTATCAATTCAAATATTTAAAAAAAAAACGCCCTCAACCTCTACTCGAGGTCCACCGGGGTGGCCAGGGAAAGTAAAACAATGAAAATCACAATAATTGTTTTCTATGATAGAATACACAATAGCAGTCAATGGGGTATAGCCTAGTAGTCTACAGTACTGTAGTTTACTTATGTTAAGTAATATAACACCCCGTATCACCATAAGACCCTGACTCTACTAAACCAAATAAAAAAAATAAAAGTGTTAGCTAAATTATTACAATATATTATTAGTAATTATTTGTTTGAATATTTCTAGCCTTAAAAAAAAACAGGAAGTCATTTTGTACTTGCTTATCAAATGTTATAAAATATTTAATTTTAGTTGAAAAATATGCTTTCTGGCAACAAACATTTGTAACCAGCTTTTCAAGCCTATTTCAATATGAGATTTTCGAGAAATTAAAAATAGTACCAATAACCTAACGAAATAAAACAAAAAGGGACACAATTCTTCTGGTGACGGCTGACCTTTAAAGGAAATGTCGCAGTCAGGACTGTTCCTTCAGAACAAGTCTGGTGTAGTACAAACTCTTTAATCAGTCGCACATGTGGCAGACAGGCCAGCAAGATGATCCCAGAATATTTCCCTAACACTGGCCTAGCAGACCAACTATCTGACTAGATTAGGGCCTCTTGCGAAACTACGTTGATAGTCAAAATATTTCTCAACTTGTTTGTGATGGGTCTGATAGAGAACGGAAAATTTAATGCTGGCTGGCATTTGAATCATAAAGTAACAGAAAACAGGCGTCTGTTGATGATCATACGCGAATTTGTTCATACATTACCCCTGTCAATGACAGATGGCAAGTTGGAATCAATACAGTTCAAGATTCCGAATTTCACAACACTGAACCTAAATTGGCTAATATTAATGGTGATGATGTTAGAATTTACTGTTGCAAAATGTGAAAATAAAACGTAGAGCGATATTAGATTCTACGGTAGCTAAAGCGATGGCAGTATTTTGGTAAGGGGGATGTGTTTGTGATATTGTAAGCGTGGTGTAACTGAGTGACCGTCAATATACCTGCTGTGAATGTGATATTGTAAGCATTATGTAATGGAGTGACAGTCTATACACATGCTGTGTTTGTGATGTAAGCATGATGTAATGGTGCAAAAGTCTATGATCAGTCTATGCCATCTGATGTAAAAGCAAAAAAAAAAAAAACCATCTGAAAGGCAATTTC